TCTTTTTGTGAAGAAAACAATCAAAAAAGCAGACGTGGCTCTTAAACACATGAAGGGGTTTCGATATATGAAACTCGAACAGGAAGGCGAGACCTACAAGGAATGGCAAACAAAACAATGAAAGTTAATTCATCAGACATCAGCAATGTCATTTGTATGAGTGAATCTAAGTCCTCCCACACTCGATAAAAACTTTTCTTTAGCCTCTCTTTTTCTAAAAGTAGTTCTCCTCTTCATAGTCATAGAATTCATATCCGCCTAACAGCTTTTAATTCTCCCTTTTTTGCATTTTTTTATTTAAATTTAACAACTGATGAACTGTACCCTGCAAAGAGTCTGCACTGCTAGAATCGCATTCATAAAACATAAAATATTTGACAACAGAGAATGCAAAAAAGAGAGAACAGCTGTTCAGAAACTACCAGAAATTTCCAAAGGGTTGAACAATTCAGCTTATTTATTGAACAAGATATCTACAAGAGCTATTTTGAGTAGTGTTATCCAAAAGATTTGAAGGAGAACATAAGAAGCAATTTTTAGAATGAACTAACAATAAGACTTTTAGAAAAAACACTATGTCAAGCAGAAAGGAGTCAACAAATAAAATACTTTAAAAAATCTCGAAAATTGGGGAAACGATCGGCAAAAGTTTTGTTAGAAGTGATCGCCAAATTAGGAAAAAAACCGATTAACTAGATTTTCGTGAAAATATGATTCCAAATGTTCATAAAAATAACAGGGTTAGAGAACTAACGCGCAGGATCTCTAACTTTTGCAAGATTACGAAGAGCACAATAGCGTGTACATCGCTGCATCTTCGAAAGAGTCGTAGTCGAAAGGAGCGAGTGTAGTTAGCGTTATCAGCTCTGATTTGCCTAGTAAGGCTATTAGTCACACGACTGCTTATGGAGTTAAACAACTTCTGGGAAAAAGCAAGGCAGTGAGAATAATAACACATTTTTCCGCGAAATTTGGGAGAGATGGCGAAGTAGGGAGATGAACTTTGCAAGTGCAAGGTAAGCCATCAAGATGACATTGAAGGATAAATAGTGGTAGACTAAGATACCTCTGCAGAGTGAATGGATTCGCGCAGTAGAAGTGACCACTAGTAGATCAATATGCAAATTAATTCCCGAAATCGAAAAGGCAAAGATTGTGATGGGCATTGGCGAGAAGCCGGGATACATTATCGCCGTGCGTGACCCTCCAGTGGTGTGTAGAAGAGAGCATGAGTCTGATGGATGGCCGAGAGATATGCGGACGAGTCGTAATGACGCTGTGGAACGAGGAGAGAGCGCGAGAGAAGGCCGTAGAGTCGACGAGGAGCCGCCGCCCTCCACTCTCTCCTACCCTCTCACAAACCCTTCTCTCCCTCCTCGTCTCCGGAACAATTGATTCCGACGATAGAATATGGTTGCTGCTTCAAGTGAGAGCAGCTCGGGAAGATGGCGTAAGGCAGCTGAGTTAGCCAGCCGGGAACGCAGCCAGCGGTCACGACAGCATCTGACGTCATGATGCCCTAGTGGGCGGTAGTGCCGACGACTGCTCAGCTAAACACACCGAAGACGGTAATAGGTAGGCGTGATTAGTAACAGAGGGTGCGGAAGTGCTAGAGACTCGAAAAAACTTCGAAGATAGCGGGAAAGATGCGGGTGATTTCCCGTTAAACAGCTTTCGATTGGAAATATACGAAAAAAAAACAAAGTCAAAGATCGCTTCATTTGCGACGAGGATCTTTTTTTCGAAGGAGAGAACAAAGAGGAACAAACATCGGGGAATTCTGAGCAGGTGATTTTCAAGAAGCAATGTGCTGATTTGTACTTTATGCAATAGAACGGGAACTATGATTAGAAGAAGGTAGCTGGTTTCGGATATATCTCATGAAAGTAAGCATAAGAGAATACCTTTAAAGGTAGTAAATTAGCGAGTTCCAGCACAACCTGACATTGAGTTTGGGGAGGGAAGAAAGATGTTCTAGGATTAGAACTAAAAATTGATAGCCCCAAACAAAAAGTACGCTTATTTCTTTCTTCACTGATATTGTTGTTTTGTTGGTAAGATGAATAAATGGTAAGCTATTAGCTATCTCAGAGTTAAGTCCTACCTACCTAGTACTTATCGAAGTATCCGCTATGAAAAAGCTTGGTTGAAACCAATAGCCAACAGAAGACCTCTTGTTTGTGCGGACTGCGACAAACTGTTGTAGTTCGCATGTCCTGAAGGACGTCGCCTCCAGGGCAAGCCGCACAGACACATCTCACAACACGCGCACACATACGATCACCCTCAGCCCTCGTGAGGCAAACCGCGTTGAAGCTATGCAAAAAGTACTAACGCTCTTCAAGTGCAGTCACACAGCAGGTCGAAAACAGCTCGTGACCAGAACCTTCGTCTAAAGGATTTCAACTTCAAGCATGGGATACGAATTCAAACTTCCTGGAATGGGAAGTGCCATAGCTAGCAGTTTTTG